TGGTCACGACCACCAACAATATCCACAACCGTCGCCGCCCCCGCCCCAAAACCGCCACAACCTCATCGGCACAAAACCTCCACCATCTCACGGCAACCAGTACCAACACCACCGTTGCAACAACCAACACTCCACACAAAAACACCACTACCACCACTGCTGGATGGCTATCAAAACGCAGAACACACATCACACCTAGAACACACAACCACCGCCGAAACCAACTTCGGATCCACAATTCGCAGAGCTGATCCACGGGCTACCACCACGACATCGCACCCACGCGCACACACCCAGCAACACAGTTCGGCAGATACCACCCCAGATCTGCAACACAAAATTAACATACACCGTACCCACGGCAGAAACAATAGATTTGCGCTCCAGATCTGCGCCGATGGTTGGATCGAACACAGAGTTCTCCAAAGCGGCGGCGAAAAGCATGGAGACGACAAAGAACCCGTGAATGGTGGCAGCAGCGTCGCGGAGGGAGAGAGGGATAGGGACGAAGAATGATGCAGATCCGCACGAAAATGTATAGACGACTGAGAACCTGTGAACGGTGGCAGCAGCGTCACGGAGGAGACGAAAATCGATTTCCATTCATTGGGAAATTCCGATCCAGCATTCATAGTTTGAGCTCCGGCGCCGGAAAGAAGAATCGCCCCCAATGAGAGAGTGGAGAAATGGTGAGAGATGGCGAGTGGAAGAACGGTGGTGACGAGAGGAGAAGAACGGTGATGGCAGCGGTGGGAGGAGAAAACTGAGAGGAGAAGAAGGCGGCGGGAGGAGAGAACCCACTGGAGGAGAGAAATGAATTTTAGGTTAGATTAGGGTTATTTTAATTGTGATGAAAATAATATAATTAATATCTAATAAATTAAAATAAACCTGATNAGAGGAGAAGAACGGTGATGGCGGCGGCGGGAGGAGAAGAAACTAAGAGGAGAAGAAGGCGGCGGGAGGAGAGAACCCACTGGAGGAGAGAAATGAGTTTTAGGGTAGATTAGGGTTATTTTAATTGTGATGAAAATAATATAATTAATATCTAATAAATTAAAATAAACCTGATTTTTGAAAAGTAAAACTGGTTGGCTGATTTGTGAAATTGGTATTTTAAAAATCTAACTCGGTGTAATTTCCTCTAATATCATATTGATATGGAAATATGTGGTGTCCATAGCCCAACAATTTCTTTAACACATTTTGCTTGCTCTAATACTAAAGTTTAAAAGCAATTATCTCTTATAATATATATTCGATTTGTTATTCTATTGATGAAGTAGAACATCATTACACGAAAATCAATGGACGTGTTTTGTCTTTATTACCAAACTTCGGAACGACGTTGAAATGGAGTTTTTACACAGAACTTTTTTAGGAAAGTCCGTTAGGGACTTTTGATTAATTTAATTTTTTTTTTTAACCAATAGACTAGTGACGGAATGCTATCAACTGAATTATTTCTTTAGGAATTTAACCAGTAATTTAATCTTCTTATAGAAAAATATTAGAATATTGATCCTTTAGTAATCCGTCGCTATTGATTCAGATTCTAGTAGTTAACGATATAGATTTATTCGAAATATATTGCTTGGATTATTTTCTAATTACTTTTCTGGATAAATTATAATTAATTTAATTGCTTTTTTTATATATAAAATTGATACACACGAAATTATATTGCAATAGAAATCTCAATATTACGTGAACTACAATCATGAGACAAATACAACGATTATCGAAAGTTTTCCAAGTAAAACACGA